TATATATATATATATATATATATATATTAACTATAACTATATATATATATATATATATATATATATATATATATATACTATATATATATAAGTATAATATATATATATATATATATATATATATATATATATATATATATATATATATATATATATATATATATATATATATATATATATATATATATATATATATATATATATATATATATATATATACACATATATATATATACATATATATACATATATTTGATATCAATATATATATATATTTATATATATAATTGTATTTGTATGCATACGGTCTTACTTTGCGTCTTCGGTTGCCGCTACTTCTGCCATCCCGCCCACGTGGCAGGCGTGCATCGTTGAAGAGAATGGTCTGCCGATTGGGCCCTTTGCTGTTGCTCTGTACATACACGTGTGAGTACAAGAAGATGTGCATGTATGGGTAAATTCAAACCTTGTTGCATGTTTTATTGCTTATGATACGTGTATATAGATATGTGTAGAATTGAGCAGCGGGATGTTAGCCATTCGAAGAAAATATGTGATGCATACTTTCAATGCGTGGACACTAACCAATACACAAAGGTCCGTTTAATATAGTAAGTTCTCAAGGAACTCAAGAGAGTACGAATAAGCCAATTCACCACACCCGAAATGAAGATTGGACTCCTGCAGTAATTCCAATGATACAAACAGTGTGAATTGCGGTTGGAATTGGGAGATACAATACAATACAATACAATACAGTACAATCTGCTACACCGAACCCCTTGTCCATCAGCAATGGTGCTAAAATAGTAATAGCCCTCAGACACTTGCAGGGTTCTTAGGGTTTCAGGGTTTAGGGTTTTAGGGATAATCCGAATCCGGGTGGACCTACGATGACTTTCATATGTTATATATCTCACAGGGAACTACACAAAACGAACAATACGACAAAAAAAGACAAAAAAGAACAAGTGGACAAGAAAGACAAACGGCACAGTCCGCCCGTGAAGCCTTTTGATTGGCTGATACCTTCGGTGTGGGCGGTTTGAAGCGCTGAACGGCTGGTATGGTATTGCGGAAGAAGTACCGTCGATTGGATGGGCCGAGATTGGTTTTCCCTTCTTCCTTCGCTTTGGCTAGAATGTATTTCTTGGGTTGCATCTCTGTATGCGGTAGGATGTTACAAAAGAAAATCGGGTATGGCGGAGGCAAAAATGTGAGGAAAATTGAGATTCGATTGTGAATTTTCTTCCTTCGCTTTGGCAAGAATGTATTTCTTGGGTTGCATTTCTGTATGTGGTAGAATGTTACAGCAGATAATCGGGTATGGAGAAGGCGAAAATGTGACGAAATCGGGAATCGGCTATGAATTTTCTTCCTTCGCTTTGGCTAGACTGTATTTCTTGACTTGCATATCTATAGTAGTAGTATGTTTCATCAGATAATCGGGCATGGAGAATACAGAAATGTGACGAAATCGGGATTCGGTTGTGAATTTTCTGCCTTCGCTTTGGCTAGAATGTATTTCTTGATCTTGCATATCTATACGTAGCAGTACGTTTCAACAGATAATCGGGTATGGAGAATACACAAATGTGAGTAAAACGAGATTCGGTTGTGGATGTTCTTCCTCGGCTATAGATAAATGAACTTTTTGGTAATGGAGTACTGTATAAAGTAGTAATTTTAAACAAAATCTGGGTACAACGGATTGCGATGATATTGTAAATTTAAGATTCCTCCTCAATCGGGACCATTGTCTACCTGACTTCATCTATAAAAAAACTTTCAGGATATTTTACTTCGTTCGCTACATGTTCAGCGAGACAGCTGGGTCCACTAGCCTGTTGAAAGCGAGCCTTTGGCCCCTCAATAAAATAATACATACATACATAGATAC